CCGTCCGTGAGCCGCCCGCCCGCCTCGGGGACGCCGCCCGCTCGCATGGCCGCACGGGGTAACGGGGTGCGCGGGAACGGGGGTGCACGGGAGAACGGAGTGCACGGGGGATCACGGGGAACGGGGTTCACATAGGGGAACAGGGAGCGCAGGGAACGGAGCTCACAGGTCAACAGGGGCGCACAGGAGAACGAGGGTACATAGGGGAGCAGGGCTCAAGTGGGGGAACAGGACATGTGGGGAATGGGGCTCACGGGGGAAAAGGCGCTGGGGGAATGAGGTGCCCGAATACCGGCGGAGGGGTGCTGCCTATGGGGTGCTGCCTATGGGGTGCCCTGGGTGGGTGTGGGCAGGGGCGCACTTCCGAGGATGGACAGGAATCTTGGGCCCCTGGATGTCCCGGCCACGCAGCGACCTCAAGGACACCCACATCCCCACCAGGCCGGAACCTCAGAGGCGCCCTGAGAGGCAAGGGGCGCTGGCGACCCCGCTCTGCAGCCTGCCAGGGCGGGGGGCGTGGTCACCTGAGGCTCGGCGGCCAGCCTGTGGGGCTGTGCGTGGCACCGGGGCTGCTGTGGCCCACGCACCTGGCCCCAGGCCCTAGTGCTGCAGGCAGGACCTGGCCACTGGCCTCTGGGGTCGGACCCCATGCGCCTGTCCAGCCCCACCTGCCCAGAAGCCCCAGCTCTGGGCCCCACAGGCCAGGCCGCCCTCCGGTGGACAGCTGAGCAGGGTGGCCGGGGGATTCGGGCAGGCCCTGACTCCTGGCATGGCCAGTGCCGCCCATCAAAGGCCAGCGTGCTGGCCAGCCACATGGGGCCTGACCAGGCGAGGGCCGTTGGCCTCGTCCCTCCTGCTCCGCGGCCTCCTGGCTCGGGGCCGCCTGAGCCCCAGTGGCTGCCCCCCAGGGGCAGCAGGACACACAGGGTGGTACCCAGGGGGCAGAGGCCCTTGTGGCCTCAGGGAGCAGCCACTGCTCGAGGTTCCCACTTCCAGGGGCCCCAGCGGCCCCCACATGGGGCAGCAGCCCCCAGAGACATTCATGAATGTTCTCCAAGCACAAAGGTCGCTTGGGAAGCTGAAACGGGGTGCTCAGCCTCAGCCAACTCCGGGGCGCCGCGCGGACCCCCACCCCCGCCCGGGAGTCCGCGTGACCCCGCCCAGCGGGCCTCGACCTTCTCTGCCTGAACTACTGTGGCGGGTTTCAAGGAGGCCGGCTCTGCGGGACTGGCCAGGCGGGCGGGGGCCGGAGGCGGCCGGCTGCAGTCCTCAGGCCAGCGGGGCAGGCTGACGCAGGAGGTGACCGCAGCGGGGAGGGGGCGTTGGCCCTCTTCCAACGTCCTCCCCTTGGGGAGCCCTGGAACAGAGGTGGGGCGAGGGGCCGCCTGTGTGACCAGCTTCCACCCACCCAGGAAGCCTGGAGAAGCATTGCGTGACCTGCCCAGAACAGGTGGACAGCGTGGGGCTCCCTGCCCACCACCCTCTGGCAGGCAGGGAGTGGCCTAGAGGGGCGGGAGGGCAGCCCTGCGTGGCAGGAGGGCCGGACCCACCAGGCATCCTGGGAGCCCGGGGAGCCCCCACCCAGGCCACCACAGGTCCATCCCCCCTGCCCCCTCGGCATCTCTGAGGTGCCGAGACCACCCCACTGGCCAGTGCTGCCCGGCTCCTGGTCACCAGTGGGGACCTTCCCCCCACCAGCACTACCCAGGCTCCTGGTGACCTGTGAGGAACACTGACCAATGCTGCCCAGCCTCCTGGTGACTGGCAGTGGCCCTCCCCCTGGCCAGCACTGCCCAGCATGTTGAGAGGTGGCCGCTGGGCTGCGTGGGCCCTGGGGGACACTGCGGGGTGAGGCAGCCCCACTGGGGCCACAGCGAGCCCCTCGCTCCCGCCGGTCAGGTCAACCCGCGGCGGCAGCTCCTGGGGCCGAGGCCTCGTGCAGCTGCGCAGGTGAGACCGCAGATGCCCCTGGCCGGTGATGAGACCGCAGATGCCCCTGGCCAGTGGGTCCTGGCCTTGGGGCGCGAGCCACAGGCCCCCCGTCCGGCCGTGCCCTCGGCTCTGGGCTCAGGGCCCCTGCGCTGTGCCCACTGCACCAAGACCCACCTGCATGTGTCCTTCAGGAGCCTGGGGCACTGCTGGGGGACCAGGGCTCTGCTGCAGAGTGGACACCATGCAGAGGCCCAGGGCCCAGGCGGCCACACTGAGAGGCCTCAAGCAGCAGGTCTGAGGGTCTGGCTGGGCGGGGCCAGAGGGGGGCGGGAGGGGGCCCCGGGCCACCCCCCTGTCACCCCGAGAGGGGCATGGCCGGTGGAGCTACCCGCCAGCCTGGCCGGGCAGCGTGGCCTCGCCAGCCCCCACCGGGGCCCAGAACCCGGGCCCCGCGACAGCGAGAGGCGGGAGGGGCGCCCCGGCGGTGGTTCCGACCCGGTGGTGGCAGACCCAGCCCCAGCAGTAGCCCGCAGGGCTGGGACAGGGGCCCGCAGCCCTGGGGCCCTCCTGCAGGAGCCAAGTGGCCAGAGGCCCCAGGCTGTGCGGCCAAAACAAAACCGAAACCTGAGCGCTGCCCCGAGGTCCCTCAGCGGAGCCGGCTACAGGGGCCGGTGGACA